TCGTCCATGACGTCGATGGATGTTAGTGATTGGCATCCCGTCATTCTCGTAGATTGTTTCGCTCACACCAGACTTCTTGCTGCCATTGGCTCGGATGAGTTGGAAGAGCTTCCGGTAATTACTAGATGTAGCTGCCGCTTCCAACTCATTAGCACGCTCTGACCACCAGGCTTCTCGGTCATTTTATGGCGTCATGCAGTTGCAACCAATGCTCATTTATACTTTTCGTTGGAATGGTAGCTAGCGTCGAAGTTAGCTTGGTTCGATACTTACTTGTAACAGAAGTTGCAACCAGCTTGGCGGTCACTTCGTTGGCCACCGAAATGTAAAGTTAGATTGGCGCAGACCGAGGCATGGTCAGAGTGCAGATAGGTATTCCAAAAGGAGCGGGTGTCTTGTACGCAACCACGCCAGCGGTAACTGATCGCGATGTGATCAATCTGAGTTCAGGCTTGAGTTGCAGAAGGAGGATGCCATGTGGCACAATGGCGATGACTGTGCCGAAAGTTAGTGCTAGCCAGAAACAGGTTGCGGTCTGTTCACAGTTGAAATAGACGGTCCTTGTTATCTGTCCTGAAACCAACAATTCCCCATCGGTCACCTAAACGACTCTCTTCTGTGGATAGACGCCCGATTTGAGCGTTGAGTTCTCCGGCTAGTACTACAATATCTGTCGAACGCACTTTCTGGAGAAGAACAGATAACTGGTGGTAAAACACATCCTAGATTGAATCCGGGTTGCAATCTGTCGGAGCATAGGTGGAGATGACGAAAAGACATCGTTTCACAGGCCAATTTCTTCTCACTTTGCTGGAACTCTTTAATATAACAGCACATAACCGACTGTTAATGGGGATCCCATCGATTAGTGCTGCCTGAGCTCTAACGCTTAGTGCGACACCAACGCCAGCAAGACCAGACGAAGATGCCACAGGGTCCCTGAATAAACGCACGTAAAACAAGCTTTTTGAAGCGACAGATGGAGATCGAATTTGTAGTACTTCACCAGAATCTTGAATATGGGTCTCGGATAGACAACAAACGTCGATATTAAGACTTTCCAAAGACATAGCCAGCCCTATCTGTTGTTCAACCATATCCCGAAAATGCTTGTACTATAGCTTGAGGTGGTAGGACGATTACATTTTGTCAGCGTCCTCACTGGACAAAACTGTATCATCGGAGTATCCCAAGTCTAAAAGTGAATCTCCTGAAAAGTCGGATGATTAAAGTGTTATCTGTAAAAGTATATCTATGATAAAGTTAAATAAGAATGGGGAAAGCGGATAACCTCAATGAATACCACATGGAGTAACCGATTCCCATGAGATTGTCATAGGCTCTGCTTCGACCAAAGGTGTTCGGGTAGGGAGCCCGTACAAGGATAATGCACTTCTCTTGTACGCCTCTCAATGACAGACACTGCCACAGAACCTCACGACCAACCGAGTCGAACGTTGCCTTAAGGTCAAGAAATACAACTATAGTCGGACGTTTAAAAGTATTTCTGTGTCCCAGGATCTGCTGAAGGGTGAATATTTGGTCCACACATTCACATTCAATTTTGAAACCAGCCTGGTTTTCTCGGGTCCACCCTTCACGAGCTCTAGTAAGACGTCGAATTATTATTGAGGCCAATATTTCAGATACTATTAGTTAAACTGATTCCTCGGTAATTGTTGCAAGAGGAGTTTTGTCCTTTATTATAGAGTGGGACGATCAGAGATCGAGACCAGTCAGATTAGACTGCATTCAGTTCCCAGATTTTAGCTAAGATCTCAGTTAATCTAACTTGTGAAACTGAACTACTATCCTTAAGATTCTCAGGGGTTAATCCATCAGGCTCTGCCGCTTTCCCTCGCTTAGATTGCTTATAGCCTTTTAAAGCTCACTAAGAGTCGGAGGACTCACATCAGATTGCCAGTCAGGTTGATTGAAGATATTGGGTTCTGCTATTAAATTTAACGCGATACCTACACGAAAGAGGCCCCAGAAAGTAGCAGTGGGGTCCTCAGACACCCGAAGAGTAAGTAGTGCCAGTTCTTTATATTGGCAAGGTGAGGTCAAATGAATGAGAGTAATTGGATATTGTTTGCGCATTTTGAAGACGCAGCACACATAGACGGCGCGAGATTTTATTGCCCTAGCCAAAGAAGCCCGTGTCCCCACTTAACACAAGGTTCGAACTCTAAAAGCTACAATGTGTAGTTTAGGGTGTGGATTTAGGAGACCGCGAATAACATTTCGTGGACTCAAGTCATTAGCATTGATGGCGTGTAGTGATAGATTACAAATGGAAAGAGTTGGTCATGGGGTGGAGGAACTTTTAAGAGTTAGGAGAGGGATTCGATCATCGACAAGATGACCTCGAGTGCTATTGGAGGCATGAAGGCGGTTGTCGCCTTCCGGCTATCTACGCCGTAGATGAACCTGAAAAAAGCCTGGATTAGTGGTAAAGTTAGTGACGTGGAAGCGTGATTGCAGAGCCTAAGGGGAAAATGCTTGAGGCCGGCCACACACAGTCTTTTCGGAAAACTTTCGTTTGATTAGCTCCGCAATTTAAAAGGCCTTATCCTCAGAGACGGTAATTTATGAGTGAAGATGTGGTGTGAAATTTTCAAGACCGACATTTTCGACCTGATTCCTTCTGTTGTAAGAAGGTAACGTCGCCGCAGATAGAGGTTTTCCAAGAGAAACATCTTACTGTCGTCACACTCATTTACAGTCAACAGCACAAATTTGCCTCTGGACCTTAAGTTATTGCTCTTAGTCTAACCGTTCCACAACCGATGTGCCTGGCATGGTAGGACCTAAAAGAACATGTGTTCCAGCCAAAAGAGCTCGGTTGATTGATCACGATATTCAGGCCTCATTACCATATCAATGTATCTTATCCAGTAGTGCTAACATTTTAGTTTCCATGATAATTAACTGTGTTTTCGTTGGATCTTATCCAGAACATCAAGTGTGAATCGAGTTGATGTGCGTTCTGCTTTGTGTTTTCGTGGTTTAAGTAGTCGCTATACTTGGCGTCTAACGCTTCTGCTTTCTCTACTTTTGTCAGGTCTTTTCATTTGGCCGTTTATTAGTAAACTTTCTTCTGGTTATGATTCTGTAGAGACATTAGGGGTTAGCATTCATTTTGTCTTCCGGCCGGGCCTGAAAACACTCCTTTCTCTGCGGTGTCCAGGACTGCATCTGTTTCTTTATGCTAAGCAAGAGTTATGATTAGAACTCTTCAGGAAGACTTTCCACATATGTAAAGTTGTCCTTTTGGCCAGCTGCTAGTCTTCCATACCTCAGAATCCTCCACTTCCAAGTGTGTGCTTTGATTGTGGTTCATATTGTAAGGTAGCGTTCCAAACGATATCGTTGATCTTCTATTAGTGTTACGTGTCAAAAGTCTGTTTCCCCAGTTATATCATGTTCAGCTTTTAGGATTGTGGCTAGTATCCAGTGCCACTACATCCCTCCATACAAGTTAGTTCTTGGACATCTATCGATCTTCTAGGGGCACACGTTACGGCCCACGGTCCACTATGATTAACTCGGGTTCGGGAAGATCGCTGGGATGTCAGTAAGATTTCTTTTGTAACTTGTGCTGAACCTAAAGTTACCCTTAATGGAGGGGTCACTTTGAATAACGTATTTGCCTCCCAAGTTTTGCGTTTTGGGGGCTAGAATGATGATACTTTCCTTCCCGATGAACAGTCATCGCTCATTACCGTCAACATTATTTGGTATAGCAGAGCTCAATTTGTGACGCGTTTGATCATTGCTGCGTTAGACAAACCGGGTGCACCGGTGGGCATTCATACGGATGCTTCTGATGGAGACTTATGCTTCATATTTTTGTTCCGTTGGAATATTTTTTCTACTTTGTGGAAAATGTTTCAGAACCACGAACAGGGATGGTTTAAAATGAACCCATCGTACTGCTTAGGTACTGCAGTATCACAGCAAAAGTGAAACCAGCGACTACAGAAATTAAATTAGAATGCTAAGTCCTTGGTTTCATTAAGTGGTGAACATGAAATTCATTTATCGTTTTTGTGTTGTTGCCCTTCTGTAGGCTGCGGTACGGGCAGTTAAGGTTAATCGATACATCAAGACTTGCCGCATAGTTGCTCAAACTTGTTATGATTATGGTTGTCAGATTTGTGATTCTGATAGTCTACCAGTGAGGAAAGACAGTCCATATCTTTGGAAGTGTTTAAATATTCCAATCGGACAGTGAAAAACGGATACTCCCGGGCATCGGCGAGAGGTCAACGAGGTCACGTCAGAGAATTTCCTGTTGCATAAATATCTTATAATTCAACATACCACTTCCTAAATGAAAGTGACAACCATGAGTGATTAAAACAGACATAAAATTACTGTTTTCTCATATGTTCAAAACCATTCGACAAACTTCTGAATTAATTCAACTTCCGAAATATCTTCTGAATATCAGTCGTCGAAACTCACAAGTTAAGTCGATTGATACATTTAGTGGATTCGAAGCACTACAAAAAGTACAGAGTAAATACAAAACGAAACGAGTCAGATACTTGACTGTTGCAATAAGGCTTCATAACCTATACTGCTGAAGGCAATACCAATATCTATGAGGATCGATGCAATTTTAAAACTCATCGATTGTTTGACAGACCTTTTTCATCTTCCAGTGAAAAATGACTTGTACAGATCTAGTCTGTCGAATTACATGCGAATATTTTTACGGACGTAACCCTGTTTTCTTGATCTAAAAATGTATATATCAAAACTAGTTCTTTCTTGGTTGTCAGGATAACCGCTACATATCAACAGGCATGTCATAACCTACATTTAAAAAGAGAGGAGCAAGTTTATCATAAATACAATGAACTTTGTGATCTTCATGCATCGTTAGACTGGCTAAATATGCGAAAAGCCAAAAACAGTGCTAAACTGGACACACATGACAGAACTCGAGGACCTGAAACACAGAAGACTTGCCTTAAACCGAGCTGTTCAATGTTGTTGAAATGAAAGAGAGGGAGACTTGAGTAGAACACTTGGTACGGTAAGCATGGCAAGTTAGCGATATCATAGCATGGTTTAAGACCATGCATTGGTCGGATCGATATATTCAACTGGGCATTGCTTTTAGTTGTTAGCTAATGAGACGGAGGATTTATAAAAATCTAACTGAGCGATTTACTCAAGCCAACTGGTCGTGTTGCACACTACATTCCTTTGACTTCGGTTCCAACTGTCTGATTATCTTCATATAACACTTGTGTCATTTGTGATTGTTGTTATTAATAAATTCGAGTGCGTTGTATTTGCTTACTTAGACACTGGATCAGTTTGTTTCGTTGTTTTCTCTTAGATTCACACGAGCACGCTGCTGTGTACACCTTAACATAGCGTCAGACCGCATATAAACCTACCGGGAGCTCTGGGTTACTCGTGATGTCCAATATATACCATCCATACAGAGTCCTTGGCTTATGTTCCTCAGATGTACCTTTTGTTGTAAAATATATACCAAACTCAAGTGCATATTATGCTGTAGTTCCCACAGGAGAACGGTTTAATATATATAAAGTAGGTCTGATGCCGAATAAGATTTAATTCTTAACCTAAGCTTCCAAGACTGACTCTCATTGGAACAAGTAAGCAGTTATGCTTTAATAATAATTCTTGATAGGCGATCCTCTTGAATCCCCAATTAAGTGTTTCACTTCTTGTGGTAACGTTCTAGTTGCTGCTTCTGGAGAAACAATTTATATTTTTCGTAATTCTCGTTATCTGCTACAAAGGCTTCAGCACCATACAAATATAATCACCCATTTGTGCTCTCTAGAGGATTCGTTTCTGGTTTCAGTTGATGAAGGCGGTCTAACTCAAGTATGGAACAGTAAATCTTGGGGTAAGAACGCATTGACAACTAGAGTATTTTACAGAAATTGTGTCTCACATAAAATTCTCGACAAAGGCTTTCTGTGTTACATCACTGATTAATCCCATTAATTACAAGAATAAAGTGCTTTTTGGAAGCTATCAAGGTTCGTTGCAATTGTGGGACGTCGTATCTAAAAAGTTAATCTACTGGTTCAAAGGATTTGATTCTGCTGTGACGTGCCTACAGCAAGCCCCAGCGTTTAACGTCTGTGCTATCGGTCTTGCTGATGGACGCGTCGTCATTCACAACCTGAAATATGATATTACATTAATGACCTTTGCTCAAGATGGTGGAGCGATTACATCTATTGGCTTTAGAAGCGGTATGTTTGGTTTAATACTGTAGACAGTAATTTGTTAAATCTTGAAAATTCTCAGTATGTAATACATCATTTCCTCACATTACTTATAAGCATGATTAAGCATGTCTGCTTGTCGTGTTTACCAAAACCAAATAAACATGTGACAAGTTATTGTCAGTCCTCAGATTCATAGATATTGGTACAAGGAGGCACCGAATACATATGCGCCATATATCTCAGTTGATTTGTGTGAGAGCTGTGATACTGACCGGGTGCCCGAACTGAAGCAGGTGGTTCTCTTAGGGGGTCACACCCGGAGCCTATGGCCCAGAGGTTTGACCCACAAGGCAGTGGAGCAACGTAATCAGATGCAGTCCGATGATATTCGGCGACCAACGATTGGTTCATACGCGATTTGTTCCCTCAGGGTACTGGAGCCCATGCGTAACATTGGTTTGGAATTAGGGTTTTCCAACTCCTGGGTGGACTCTCCGTGTCCACCAGTCCGGTTAAAGTGCCGCTCATTCGCTTTTCGTCCTCTCAATTTCGTAAACAACACCCCGCTACGAGAAGGCAGTGAGTAGGACTTCCCTGGCAGAGGCTATATACGCGTGACCATGTGAGAGCATTTCGAGAGGGAGAGTGGACGCTTCCCATTCTCGGCCGTACTAGGGCATTTGGGGGAACCAGAAATTATAGGCGTACTTACATAGCTTAAAAGTTACCTAGATATGAACTTTGCCCAGTCTGGGCACCCAGGAAGTATCAGCCCACACACAAATCAAATGAAATGATAATTAATACAGGAAATACTATTCTATCGGTGTCAAAAAAGGCTCCATATTCTCGTCCATTTTCTTACTGCTATCTGTCAACTGGATAATGAGAACCCCTATACGTAAGGAGGAACATGGAATACGGTGGACACAACTGGACGATATGGGCTTTGGAGATGACTCAGACCCCCAATCGCATACACGAAAACAAATGCAGACGAAGATATCCAGTTACAGGATTTTCTTGATCTGTGGCAATGTTTCGTCAGATTTCACCCCACAAAATCTTTTGGAACTTCTATAATGGTGTGATCAATGTGCTCAACTACTTTCAACCCTAAACTTCCTCCTTCGACTTCCTCCTCAAGTGTCACCATAGCCAACGATTCTAGTGCTCAAAACTCTGTCCCAGGTCTACTGAAACCTCGCTCCAAACTACACATTGGAGCTTTCAACGTACGCACTCTATGTCAAATCGGTCAACAGGCTTCCTTGGCTAAAACCCTAGAGTCTCTTTCCATTGATGTATGCTGTGTCTCCGAAACACGCATACAGGATTCCAGTGTGGTCATTCACTTGACCTCACCTCGGCAAAACGGAGAGCCAACGAGATACACCCTACGTGTATCTGGTGACCCGATGGCCAGTTCTCGTGGACTGGCAGGTGTAGGCATAGCACTAAGCATGAGGGCGGAACAAGCACTGCTAGAGTGGGTCCCCGTCAACAGTCGTCTATGTGCTGTTCGGCTAAACGGCTCCGTAAGAACTCGGAAGGATAGGGACACACGTCGTTGCCTTTTTGTCGTTTCTGCCTACGCTCCCACTGACTGCAGCTCAGATGATATGAAAGATGAATTTTACAGAAAGTTATCTGAACTTCTTCAGAAAGCTAAACGCTCAGACATAGTACTCGTAGGGGGTGACTTTAATGCTCAGATAGGTAGCTTAAACCACACAGAAAGGCATTTAGGTGGATATTTTAGCATTCCGGTACAGCGAACAGATAATGGTGACCGTCTGCTGCAACTGTGCTCAGACAATCGCTTATTTTTAGCAAACACAAATTTTAAGCATAAGGAGCGACATCGTCTAACATGGCGACCCCCTACACCAAACCAACGATGGACTCAAATAGACCATATTGCCATCAGTCATCGTTGGAGAGGGTCGGTAGAAGATTGTCGCTCATTCTGGAGTACCTGCTTGGACTCCGACCACGCCCTAATACTGGCACGCATCTGCTTGCGCCTCACCGGACGCAAAAAAGCCACATTGAAAAGACCCATTAGAACTAAGTTGAGTAACGAGAAAACCAAAAATAGGTTCCAAGAACAACTGAGTTCACACTTAGGTAGTTCTGAAGACGAGGCTGACCCAGATGTTGCTTGGAAAGACATACAAGCAGCTGTGGAAGCAGCAGTGACATCTATTAGCGACTTAAACCACAGAGTTTCAAAGAACCAGTGGATTTCTTCAAAGTCTATCACACTGATGGATTCTCGCAAACTCGTCCCATCAGGTTCCGAACATGATGAAGAGCGACAACAAATCAGATCTAGGTTAAGAAAAAGTTTAAGAAACGACCGTGAGCAGTGGTGGGCAACGAAAGCAAAAGAGATGGAAAAGGCGGCGACTATAGGGAACACAAGACAACTTTACAGACTAATAAAAGAAACTGGAATTAATAAGTCAAGTGTGAGATTATATCGGAAAAAGACGATACTCTCATCTAGTCCCAGTTCAGACGTTTAGAACGATGGGCGGAACACTTTGGGGAACAGTTCAGCTGGCCTTCAGCTACTCTACAACTACCCTCCATTCCCAGACAGCGTGTATGGAACATTGAAGTAGGTCCCCCAACTCTTGCTGAAGTTCAAAAGGCTATAGATAATCTGAAACGAGGTAGGGCAGCTGGTCCAGATGGACTGGTTCCAGAAGTCTTTAAGGATGGTGGTCCAATTTTAGCTATTAGGTTGACTAATATTTTAGCTAAGATCTGGGAGCTAGACGTTATTCCATCTGACTGGTCACAATCACTTATCGTCCCAATATATAAGAAAGGGTCAAAATCATCCTGTGACAACCACAGAGGGATTAGTTTAACTAATATAATATCTAAAATACTAGCCTCGATAATTATCAGACGCCTAACTAAGACTCGTGAACTGCAAACACGAGAAAACCAAGCTGGCTTCAGACCTGGTCGTGGCTGCATCGACCACATATTCACCATTCGTCAGGTTCTAGAACATAGGCATACTTATCGGCGTCCGACGATGGTGGTCTTTCTTGACTTAAAAGCAGCATTTGACTCGGTAGACCGCGAGGTTCTGTGGCAGTGTCTGTCATTGAAAGGCGTACCTCAGAAGTACATAAACCTTGTGAAGGCTCTTTACTCGAACACTACTAGTCGAGTGAGAGCTTATGGCAAACTGTCATCTACTTTTGCAACCTCAAGTGGTGTCCGTCAAGGATGTCCACTTTCCGCATTTTTGTTTAACTTCATCATAGACCTACTGATGGAAATAACATTCTCGTCGACTGAATTCTCGAGCATTGATCTCCATCCAGGAGGTCCACTTATCGACTTAGAATACGCAGATGACATAGTCCTGTTTGGTGAAGACGCTGAAAAAATGCAGAGTCTTCTGGTAGCACTGAGCAACAATGCCAGGATGTTTGGAATGCGCTTCTCTCCCTCTAAATGCAAGTTGTTGCTTCAGGACTGGTCTGCGTCAACACCTGAACTAAGGATAGGGAGTGAAATAGTCGAACGCGTTGACAACTTCACTTATCTTGGAAGTCTGATCAGCCCTAATGGGCTGGTATCGGACGAAATCTCAGCACGGATTCGAAAAGCCCGTTCGGCTTTCGCCAACTTACGTCACCTGTGGCGAAGGCGAGATATCCGTCTATCAATAAAAGGACTAGTATACTGCGCGGCAGTCCGTTCTGTTCTAATTTACGGCAGCGAAACATGGCCATTAAGAGTAGAAGACACTCGTAAGCTACTAGTATTTGACCACAGATGCCTTAGAAATATTGCTGGCGTCTGCTGGGATAATCGGGTAAGTAATAGTGAGGTTAGACGCCGGGTATTAGGAAATGATGGTAAATCAGTTGACGAGGTTATGAATCTTCATCGATTGCAATGGCGCAGGTGCATCCACTCTCTATGTTCTCCCAAATTCTAATTATCTGAATTCTTCATGCCCCTTTTTTTTCCTCTTTCCAAATTTATTTCACTGGATTATACTCGTTAAATAACATCTCCAAACCCTAATCCTCCCGATTACTGCTTATACTCTTGCTACCTCTACCACTACGGGATTTGAATCGACCACTGCATCTCTGTGCTAATGTGGTATGGCAACTCGAACTGATGTACGTACGTACTAAGTTCTACGTTGTTACTGACTGACTGACTCTTCATCGACTGAGATGGTTGGGCCACGTGTTACGTATGCCTGAACACCGATTACCACGACGTGCAATGCTATCCGGTATTGGAAATGGTTGGAAAAAAGTTAGGGGCGGCCAAACCAAAACGTGGCATCAGTGCTTGAAGTCACTAACTTCTAGTCTGAGCCATGTTGGTAGATGCAGACTACTTGGTTGGGGTCCGCGTGACTATCGTAACCAATGGTTGGAGATTTTGTGACATGGCTCAGAATCGATCACAATAGCGTCGGTGTATACACTCCCTGTCTTCCCTTAAACTAAGACATTAAAATAGCTTCATATCTTTCTTTCTACGAACCAATTCTTTCTTCTTGTACTATATCTCTATATGCAATCTTTCTCTTACATATTACCACCTTTTACGTAACCACTGTTACGAATCCGCTGTTCATCTTGTTGTGCTGATGCGGTATGGCAACCTGGACCGATGCACATATGTGCCTGGTCCTACGTTGTAGCTGACTGACTGATTAGTTTAGGCATTGTCAAATGTCAGTTTTGAAAATTTTGCATTTGGAAAGAGAGAACCCTACCTGACAGTCCGTGTAGCACCGTGTATTTGTATAGTTATTGTTATGATCTCTTAATTATGGTTATGACCCATCTATTCCTATTGCTTAATATTCTCGAACACCGATTCACTCGACAAGTCCCCAAATCAGAACACGGTTGAACAGGAAGGATATTATATTCCAAATAACAAGGTTAGATGGAAGTAAGATGCAAGAAGCGCAATAGAGAAAACGTTAGTATATTTATAGTTTTTACATGAGACTAAAGTAT